GAGCCCCCAAGTTCACCCTTCAGTCCACCTTGCCTATAAATCAGGGTTCCCACAACTCTGTCCTCCGCTTTGATAACCTGCTATAACAACTCACAGAACTCAGGGAAACACGTTTACTAGTGTATTATAAACGTTATAATAAAGGATACATATGAAGAGCCAGATGAAGAGGTACATAGGGCAAGGTCCAGAAGCTTCCTAGGTGCAGAAGCTTCTGTCCCTGTGGAGTTGGGGTGTGCCACCCTCCGAGCACGTGGATATATTCGCCAACCTGGAGGCTTTCCAAACCCCTTAGCTTACGGATTTTTTGAGAGGCCTCATCTCATCGGCATGGTTGATTATTAACTCAATCTCCAGCCCCTTTCCCCTCCCCAGAGAATGGAGGGTTGGGGATGAAAGCTCCAAGCTTCTAGTCGTGGCTTGGTCTTTCTGGTGACCAGACCCCATCCTGAAGCTATCCAGGAGCCCACACAGGGTTATCTCCTTAGAACAAAACACACTCCTATCACCCAGGAATTTCCAAGGGATTTAGGAAGCTCGGTGTAAGACTCTGTTATCGCCCCCATCACTCAGGAAATTATGAAGATTTTAAGAGCCCTGTGTCAGGAATTGGGGATCAAAGACTAAATATTAGAACAAAAGATGCTCCTCGCACCCCAGTCACTCAAGAAATTGCTACAAGCGTTTTAGGAACTCTGGGTCAGGAACGGGAGAAGAGACCAAGAATTATATTTATTATGTCACAGGTGGACACATGACAAATACATTTGGCAAAACCCATAGGACTGTACAACACAAAGATGAACCCTAATGTAGACCCTTGTTAATAATAACGTAACAATATGGGTTCTTCAATTGTATCACACTAATGCAAGACGTTGATAATTGGGGAAACTGTAAGCAGGGGAGAAAGAGGCTCTATAGGAGCTTTCTCTACTATCTGCTCAGTCATCTGTGAACGTAAAACTGCTCTAACAAAACCAAAACCAAGCCTATTAATTCTTTTAAAAAAGGAAAAGAAATTTAAAAACAGTCAATGAGGCTCGTTGTCAAACTGGTCAATGAAAAAGTTAATGTAACATTTAACGAGATAAGCTTAGGTACAGAAAGAATCTAATCAAATCATTGTATAAGAGTTGATCACAACTGCCTGCCATGAGACCATACCAGAAGCAGCTATGGCCTCTGTGCAGTTCGGAGTAACATTTGAAAGAAAGTCTACACTGATGTAAACCATGGGCAGACAGAGATAAGGAAGGTAATGCGACATACTTATTATTATTATTTTTTTTTTTGGCGGTACGCGGGCCTCTCACTGTTGTGGCCTCTCCCGTTGCGGAGCACAGGCTCCGGACATGGCTCAGCGGCCATGGCTCACGTGCCCAGCCGCTCTGTGGCATGTGGGATCTTCCCAGACCAGGGCACAAACCCGTGTCCCCTGCATTGGCAGGCGGACTCTCAACTACTGCACCACCAGGGAAGCCCCAGTAATGCGACATAGTTTTAAAAACAGTGACTCCCTCAAGTCATGTTTTATTTTCACAAGCTTGTTCTATATGAACTTTGAAATCTTATCAAGGTTTTGTCCAAATGATAAAAGCAGACTACGACGCCCATAGCGAAATAAAGGTAGAAATAATTGTTTATGTCAATCTAAGCTGTACTAGCTAGAGTTTTTGCAGAGGAGACAGGCTGCCCTGTGTTCTGTTATTTATGCCTCGTACCCTTTTCATTCTACACTTCTATGCAAGTTACCTCCTTGCATCACATTCATTTTCAAATAGCGCTGAGTCTTTCAATCTGATCTTTCCGTGCCCAGCAGGAGGAGACCAGGGAGCCTAGGGCACTCCCAAACCCAAGTTTCTGTGTCTAGAATTCTTAGTTTGAATTTTATAGAGCTGATATTCATATATCAATGATAAGAAATTCAAACATAAAATTATGCTTTTAATCCTTAGACGGGTTATAGTGAGGGGGCACGGATTTAGTTCAGTCTCCTCTTTCTGTGGAACACAAACTCCGAGCAAACAGACTATCCAAGGCCAGCACTCAAGTCTTATGATATCGAATCTAGTATTCTTTTCATAAAAGTATGCAATCTTGATATGATCTAAACGCCTTACAGGCATATCTGATCCTGTTAGGTAAGGAGTATGTCCAGTAACAGCTGACTCCGTAACTGGAGTCTGGTATCCCAATCTGCAAAAGCCAGAACCTGGGCTCTATTATTTTAGTAAACATGTGTTTAAATTTTTATAAAAGTAACATATAATCATCATAGAAAATTTCACAGAAAAAGATGCAGGAGGAGGCGTAGAAGTTGGAAGATGAAGAGGGAGAGAGGAGAAATGGGAGAGAAGAAAGGAGGGAGAGAGAGAGGGAGGGGAAGAAAGAGGAAAAAAAGAAAAATCGGGCTTCCCTGGTGGCGCCGTGGTTGAGAGTCCGCCTGCCGATGCAGGGGACACGGGTTCGAGCCCCGGTCCGGGAAGATCCCACATGCCGCGGAGCGGCTGGGCCCGTGAGCCATGGCCACTGAGCCTGCGCGTCCGGAGCCTGTGCTCCCCGGCGGGAGAGGCCACAACAGTGAGAGGCCCGCATACCACGCAAAAAAAAAAAAGAAAGAAAAATCACTTACAACTTCAGCACTCTGAAGTAAGGAATGTAAGCATTATACTGCTTAACATCACCGATGGTTTGTAATGTTCTCCACATTCTTGTAACCTGCCTTTTTCTACTTAACATCTTTTAACCGGAGGCAGTGTAGGCAGTGACAGATGGTGGCAGAAACTGTACAGGTAGTGGACGGGAGCGTAAGCTGTAGAGCTAGACTGTCTGGTTCACATCCTGGCTCAGATTCTCACTAGCTGTGTGACCCTGAGCAGGCTACTCGACCTTGCTGTTACCTCAGTTTCCCATCTACAAAATGGAGATAATAATAGTAACTACTTCTATCATGAGGATTCAATGGCTTAATATATTTAACCACTTATAACAGTGCCTGGCACAAAGTACACTCTATATCAAAGGGCAGTAAATTTTTTCAGTAAAGAACCAGATAGTAAATATTTTAGGCTCTGCAGGGTCATATAGTTTCTATCACAACTCCGCAATGCTGCCTTCATGGAGACTGAATTTGAATTTCACATAATTTTCACGTCATGAAACATAATCTTCTTTTGATGATTTCAACCATTTAAAAAATGTAAAAACTGCTTTAGCTCATGAGCTGTGCAAAAATCAGTAGTAGGCTGGGCCTCTGGGCCAGAGTTTGCTGACCTCTGTTCTGTATAATTAGCAGACATTATTATGTCTCTAATATCTTTCTATAAATTATTTTTAATGGCTGCTTAGAACAAGATTATTTGGATGTCCTATAATTTACTTAGTCCCCTATGATTACAAATTATTTCCAGTGTTCATTACTACAAGCCATTCTCCAAAAAATATCCATGCAAAACCTTTGTGCACATTTACTATTAAACCTACGCCTTAAAATGTATGTAGTGGCAGCTAGCAAAATGGCTGGCAGAGCATCTAAAAAGAAACAGACTCTGAAGAAGTGGCCTTGAAAATAAATCTTGGATAGATATAGCAAATTTCAAACATGTTAGAGAAGGAGCTCTACAAGTAGAATATATATTCATACACACATAGAACTTACTTGGTACCACTCTAAGCCTTCTAGGTATATTAAATCATTTAGTCCGCAAAACAATCCTATGAGAAACAGGTGCAATCATCATCACCATCATCACCTCCAAGGTACAAAAGAGGAAACTGAGGCACAGAAAAGCTAAGTAACTTCCCCAAGGTCACACAGCTGGCTGGTGGCAGAGGCAGGATTCAAACCTGGTCTGTGCAGCACTATGGCCCATATTCCTGAAGAAGATGCTGCACTGCTTCTGCAACAGGAGAGGCCTGGCGAGTGTGCACACCCAGGTCCTCACTTTATAAAGTACCTGTGGTCTTTGGCTCATGTTTGACACGCATGAACGACCTCACACTCTAATAACTGGCACAAATTTTATCCGTCAATGGGACACTTCGGTGGAAACGGTGAAAGCCCACCTAACCTTCCTCTTTTGTCCTCCAACTCCTTCCCCATACCAACTCTTCATTAAATTGCCCTACATTTCTCACCCAAAAGAGTTGTGCTCTATAAACAGTAAAGACTGACTGGGGCGTACTTTCATATCTCGTTTTTCAAGTCAGGGTCCCAGATCTGCCAAATTCACGTGGCAACCTCCGGGTGGGGCTTCGCCTAGAGTGGAGGGCCAGGGACGGCCATGGGAATGCAAATTTCGGATAAGTACCTTCTTCCATGGAAACAAAACCGCGGCTCGTGTCGAAGGTCTCTCCCGCGTGGCCCCCGCAGCAGCAGGGCGGGCTTGCTCTGGCCCCTCGCCGGGTCCCCGAGGGCGCAGTCTCGCGTCGGTGTGGACCAAACCGCCAGCCTCCGCCGCCAGGCTCAGACGCCGAGTTGCGCTCTCTCCCGGTCCTTCCGGCTTGTGCTGAGATGCGGGCGACTGTCCCAGAAAGGAGTTATGCGAGTGGGTCGTTCGACTTTGTGGGGAAATGATTCTAGTTTTCATTTCTCCTTCTGATTTCTCTCCCTCCTGGGACCCGACTGCTCGAGTTATCCCCATGAGGCTGAGCAGCCAACGCCGCTGGCCCCAAGTTGTTGCCCGTCTCCCACTCGTGCCCAAACTAGGACAGAACCGAGAAGTAGAGAGGAAACCAGGAAAGAAAGAAGCGGGTGCTTCAAACGGGACCACGCTTGTGCAGACGCGGCGGCGGACTTGGAGCAGCGGGGCGGGGAGTCCTGGCCGAGGCCCGGGACTCCGCCCGCCGGGGGGCGCCGGGACGCTGGGCGCGTGCGCTGTGCGGCCCCAGCCCCGGCCGCAGCTGCCGTGATGCCTATTTTAGTCAAAGCCGCTGCGGACGCGGGGACCCGGCACCGGCCGAGCAGCCTCCCGACCCGCCGATCGGCCGAGGCTTTCGCGTCGGGCTCCCGTCGAGCCTTCGCGTCCGTGTCCCCTGCGCCCCGCCGCTGCCACCCCAAACTTTGGCCAGCACCGCCCGGGCTCCGCGCCAGGCACGAGCCAGGTAAGGAGCGGGAGGCGCAGCGGCCGCGGGCTCCCACAACGCGCCCGGCTATTTGCAGCCTCGAGCTCCCGCGGCTAAATCGGGAAGCGAAAGTTAGATCCCTGCTCAACTGGGAGCAACTTTGCCCTCCCGGGCGGCGGCTGCCTGTTCTCGGTTCCCCGGCCGCCGGGAACCCCGCCCTCTCCTCGCTGGCCGCGCCCTCGCGGGGTTCCCTGTCCTTGGAAGCCGCCCTTCACCCTGGGTCTGGGCGTAGCGGTCACACAGACCCTCGGATGTCAACTGCCGCCACTCGGGTCTGGCAGCGCCAGCGTCCTCGGGCGCTTGGGCCCCATCGGGTGCCGGTTCCCGCGCTCTGCTGCCCGCAAGCTCTAGGTGAGCTCGGCTTCTCCCCTCCCCGAGAGGCTCACAGGGCTCCGGGCCCGCGAACCCACTACGGCTCCTCCTCGCCCCCTGTAGGGCCTCCGGGTCCCACGCGGAGGCAACGCGCAGCCGGGCTCACCGGGTCGCGCGCTCTGGCCTGGCGCTGCGAATGCGAGGTGGGTCAGGGCGCTCACTGCACACCCGTCGTGGCCCGAGAGCCTCGGATCAAGACCAGTTGACACAGACCTTCCCTCTTTAAGGAGCGAGGTGAGCTGGGCGCCTGGGGAGAGCAGATGGCTGGGGAAACCGAGATCTACCCGCGTCCTCGTTTCCGAGGCTTTGGGAAACGTGTCGTTGGCCAGATAAGTCTCAGAAACTGCTGGCTTTGGAGCAAGAATAAGTACGAAAAGACTCTTAGCAACATAGTGCCCTTGTCATTCCGAAGATAAACGAAGGTTCAGTTAGAATCACGGAATGAATTGCGCTAGTCTATGAGCACGACTTTTGCTCACTGCTGTTATCTTCTTCATTTGCGTAGTTTGGTGAAGGATTAATGTTAGTTTCACCATTTAGCTATTTAGCCCTGCACACACCTACCTGAAAAGCAATAGATAAACAGGCCTTAACTAGAACAGGAAATTTAAGAAATCAGACTCCGAGGAAAAAGAAAATTTCTCTTGATTTAGTCAAAATTAACCTGAACGTTTACCAATTTACCAATCTAACCTTCCTCGTTAGACTCATTCATTCTCTGTATAAGGATAGTTCAGTGCAAGCCACATAAATCTATTAAGTAGTGGTCAAAGGAAGCTGAAACCTTTGGCAAGCAAGAGGTTTCCATATTTATTGGCAAGATCCGATCCATATTTATTGACAGTAGGTTACTGGCATTTCAAAACAGACATATAAATAAGTATACCTAGATAAATAATAGACATATAAACATACAGATAAAATATGTATAATATATAATGTTAATTACTCTACAATATATATTGAATATAGAAAATTAAATAAATATATGGACTGTACATATATTTTTAACAAGGTGTGGTGCATCAGAATATGTTGTAGGATTATCTCACCTTTTAAAAATTCTTTTCACCGTGTCCTTGGTTCTTGGGTTAGTAGATCATAGTTTTCCTATCATTTCTCTTGACCAGAAATTGGTACTTTTAGTGCCAGTTGGAGAAATTTTAAAAGCCTGAAATTGAATTACAGTGAATTAGTTGGCAGTACAGGTGTAATCAGGTGGATGTGAGGGGGAATATGTATTACTTAACTGACTATATAAATATCTATTAGAGCCACAGGCTATTAAAACTTGAAGGGGTTTCAAAGACCATCTAGTCCAGTTGTCTCAATTCCCAGGAAGAAGCCAACCCAAGGAGCAGAAGTGACTTTCCCTGGCTTATGTGGCTCCCTGGCGCTTGTAGTATAGAACCTGACTCTCCCAGCCTCAGGCAGGCTTGGCACTCCCCTATCTTTCCTACTGAGGTTTGGGGAGACAGAAAAGTAATTTCTAAAAATGTCTGTCATTTTTGTGTACCTTCCATATGGCTTTCACCTCTGGCATTCTCTACAGAGAAAAGGCCTTGGATATACTTAGGTGAATATGACTTTGTCCCTGTCTCGTAGAGAATACAGGTTAGTTAGGGGAACAAATGGGACAATGGGAATGAAAACACATTCTGAAGTGCAGTAGAAATGGCAGTTATTTTTAGCTTATGTAATACTAATGCATAAGCTGATACTGACATCATGAGTGATAGAGGACATTTAATATCATTTTCCCTCTGAAAAACTTATGAGATTAATTCTGATTTGGTTCTTGAAAGCAAACTTTGTATAAATTGAGTTATTAAAATAATGATTCCTCCCCCCATCCTAATAGGTTTGTATTTTTATTGAGCCAAACATTTGGAAGGTAGAGGATTAAGAGGTACAACCTATTATGTATGAAATAAGCTACAGGTATATATTGTACAACACAGGGAATACAGCCAATATTTTATAATAACTATAAATGGAGTGTAACCTTTAAAAATTGTGAATCACCATATCATACACCTGTAACTTGTATAATATTGTACATCACCTGTACTTCAATAAAATAAAATTTGGAAAGTAGCTCAATTTCAATGATTTCTTTCCTTTTTGCAGCAAATCAATATCTAAGTCAACTATTTCTCATATGTATGAACTGTTCTAGAATTATGGGAAGGGATCTGTAATTGACTTGATCATTTCATTCACAGTTTGTAAATTTAGGCATGTTTAGGTTTCTATCATCTTAAGAGATGTGGAATTCTTTCACATTTATTTATTAACATCCTTTCAAAATGCCCAACCTGATACCAATTGATTCTACCACCTAAAACCTTCATTTTAGTGTGATGGATGAAAAGAAAAAAAATGGAAAAATATGGCTTATTGTGTGACCTTATTTGGAAAGAAAATCATATTTCTAAATTAAATTTAAACATATTTTGGGTCCCCATTGGGAATTCTTTTCCCGAAACAGAACAATTCACATATTCTGTAAATCTACATAGTTTTTGCCAGGGACCAATTTGTATAATTAACAATAGAAAGAGTTTTTTAAGTACCAGAGAGGACAGGTCATATAGTAAGGAAATAGTGCCCTTTTGTGTTAAGGTTTATGTAAGCATGTGTAAAATGTATATTCTTTGAAATGTATTTGCTACAGATTCTAATATTAAATAGTCAAATGTATACTCATGACCCATCTTCCATATAAGGAACCTGGAAGTTTACTATTTTTCAACTTGTGAGATGCAACCAACTAGAATTTTTATGGGAAAGTAAATCTTTAGACAGTTAAAGGAGTAAATGTTAACACTCTCTCTGTACATATAAATGATTATAGTAATATATTTATTATGTCATATATGATACTTTAGAATGTATATATGTATGCTCTAGTGATTTAACAAGAGTATGAAATTAAAGCCTTCCAAATATCCTAAGCCTTCAAATAGTGAATAGTAAGGTGTTAATTTTTTGAAGGTATTAAAAAAATCGTTTTTTCTCGTTATTTTTCCTGTGTTTGGATTCAGTGTCACTAGTGCGAGTATGATAGAAAGCTATACTAAATAACTGTAATAGCTATGGTTTATGAACATTGGTGATTGTCTTTTAGACTAGTTAATTCCCTCATTTCTCTCTCCCCCTCCAAGTATGTTTAGATAAAAACATATAGATATATGGAGTGATATATATATATATATGTATATATAAGAGAATAGTTGTGCACTATGCTAAGTATTTTATATATTTCATTTCCTCATAAAGTCAATGAAGTATTATCATCATTTAACAGATAAGGAAATAGATACATTTAATATGTGACAGAGCTGGGATTTGAACCTAGGTCTGTCTAATTCATAACCACCAGAGAAGTCTATTTACCAACATTTAGTTCTCAGAAATAATTTTAGTATAACACCCATAGGGGTGATAAGATACAGCTGTCATTTTTTGATTGTCCTTTTGTTTATTTGTTTTTATAGGAATTTTCAAGATGAATTATACCAAGTCCAGCCCATTGGCAGAATCAACTGCAATAGGTTTTACACCTGAGTTAGAAACTATCCTACCTGTGCCTTCCAATGAGACCACTTGTGAAAACTGGAAAGAGATACATCATCTAGTTTTTCATGTAGCAAATATTTTTTTTGCAATTGGGTTGGTTATTCCAACTACTCTTCACCTTCATATGATACTTCTTAGGGGGATGTTAACTATAGGTAAGAAACCTAACTGAGATTTTATGTAACTTTTCTATAACTTGCATCAGATGGACTTTGTATTGGGGGTTTCAGAGGATTTACATACTTGTTAACTGCGTAACTGGGTCAATAAACTTTCTATACCTCAGTTTCCCCACGTGTCAAATAAGGGTAAAAATACCACCTCCTGGGGTTGTAAGAATTCGGTGAGTGTGATATCTGACTTACAGTAGTGCCTGGCACATCGTAAGTACTCTATAGTTTTAACTATCATTATTTGAATAGGCATTTACTTGCTGCAGCAAGTAAAGCAACACAGGGAACAAAAACAGTTACCCAGACAAAATAGTTCAAATAAAATTTGGGGGGTGGTGTGCTCTGTTAACCCTGATGAAGCACGTTAAATTAATCCACATCAAAATACTAAAACAATCGAATTTACTATTTTAGCCAGTGATCCTTGACAGATTACTCTCTGTGTGATTATGTCCCTGGTGATTCATTTATTCAGGTGCATTTTTGAGCACCTGTAATATGTCAGACAGAAATTGACAAATGCAGTCCCCATCCTTGAGAAAGACACTCTTTTGGGGGCTGGAGAGAAACAGATGGGCGGTCACATAGGACAGATCAGATGCTGTGATGCAAGTGTGCACCCAGTGCCAGGGAGAAATGGACAGCATGATGGGCTCAGCAGAAAGGCAGACCAGGGTCCACTGAAGAGACAACTTTGGAGCTGGTTTTGGGAGGATGAGAAGGATTTCTCTGAGTGTGAGTGTGTATGGTATCCAGGAAAAAGGCACAGAGGAGAGGGAGATTCAGCATGTTGAGGGAGAATGAAGAGTAGCTCATTGTGCCTGAAATATATGACAAATGACAAGGAAGGGTCAAAGAAGGTGGTAGAAGGGTAGCTAGAAGGTAGCTTGTAGGACTTCTGTGGCTGTTACCTCTGAGTCAGGTAGGGATTACAGCAGGAGGAGCAGAGTACTGAGTGAAAAAATAAAACCACACCCTGTAAAAAGCAAAAGCTAATTATGACTTTTAAGACAAGAGTTTTGGAGGTGGAACAGACCAAGGGAGATCACCTAGTCCAACACTTGATAAACAAAGAAACTGAGGCCTTGGAGAAGTTAAATGACTCATCCAAAATTAAGACTAGGAAAAAGTGGTCAAACCAGGACTATAATTCAGGTCCTCCAGCTTCCCAGTCAGTCCTTCCATTATGTTACCCTGTCTCCTTTAAGTAATAAGATTTTACATGTCTTCAATACTTGCTACGCAATATTACCTAAAGAACCTTAAAATTTTTATATTTTGGGCTATTATTCAGGTGCCCCAAATCATTCTGATGAAATTTTAAAATTGCAAAAGAATAACTTTTTTAAATGGGAGATTTAGTTTTTATGTGCATATGTGCTGTTGATATATTTGTGTTGATAATTGATATTGATAATTTTATTTTAAATTTAAAATATATATTGATTTTCCCATCATAAAACTGATCAAAAGAAACTGCAAATTTGCACAAACCTCTTAGAAAACAGTTCTTTAGTGTCGTCAAAACCTATAAAGTTATTCCCTTGGCTCACTGTCAGGTGATCCACCGTAACTAAGCAAGCAGTCACAAGAACAGATACATTTTTATGTATAAAGCTGTTTTTGCTACTTGTCAAAAATTACAGCCAAAACATTTCCCCTGTCTACCAGGAGGGAGATAGTTAAATAAATTATGGTTTAATTAATTACAGTCATTAAAAACTATGTATACGAAGAGTTTTAATGAAATGGGAAAATCACTGCAATAAGTAAAAGAATAGGTTTTAAATTGTGAATTCCTTAGGTTTGCCATCAGGTAAAAATACAAAAAGACTGTGAGGAAGTATTAAATAGCAATAGTGGTTGTCTTTAAGTAGCAGAATTATGAAGTTGTTTTTCCTCCTTTAAAAAATGGTTTTTATACTTTACAAGTTCTCTGCAACAAAGTGTGTTTTGGTTTTGTTTGTTTTGGTAATCAAACAAAAACGAAAATGTAACTTAATGTGATGTTTGTCTTAGGTATTTCTAAGATGTGTTTGGTTTATTTTATACATGGAGGATGACAAATGTATTAAGCTACATGCTGAAGCTACTCTAGACACCTAACATGCCCACTTCATTATTCAACAGGATGTACCCTTTACATCGTCTGGGCCACTCTCTACCGATGTGCCTTGGATATCATGATCTGGAACTCGGTGTTCCTGGGGATCAACATTTTGCATCTTTCATATCTTTTGTACAAGAAAAGACCGGTAATTACTAACAATTAATTAATAAAGAAGAGACTTTAAAGCTGTTGCTTTTCAAGTACTTTGTTCGGACCTGAGAATGAGCATCTAACATCTTTAGGCCCTTTAATATCATTTTTCTGAAGATGAGACTTTCTATGAAAGTCTTTCTAAGACTTTCACTTTCTTTCTGAAAGTGAAATATTTGAGCACCACGAAATTTGTTCTACCAACGAGTTTTTAAAACGTCTTTAATCATTAGGGCAATTTAGACATGAGAGAACATGACAGTATTCTCTCTTTTTAGTCATCTAACTTCATTATTTATTTTGCCTATTGATATTCAAATGTCACTCTGGAAAATCTTTGCCTTGTTATAAAATTAAGTGCTCAGAGACAACTTCCATGAACTTGCTAATGATTTACAAATAGCTTATGCTATTTTTTCATGCTATTTTTAAAAATGTAATAGCTGTTTTTTTTTCTTATGTCCAAAATACTCATTTAAGGAAATCACCATTCTTGGTGAGTTGTTATGAAAACACTAGTCTTTAACTTTTTCTTTTCCACTCCTTGTTGTATTTCCTTGGTCATACCAAGAACAAACAGATGTAAACAGAATAGGAAAATAGCATGGCTCCTAGAAATCACTCCACAGCTGTTTGTTGACTGTCCAAAGCACATACAAATATTCAGTAAAGTAAAAGACAACATGCTTGCTCTAGTCTTATGTTCAAGGCCAGACATGCACATAGAAAACTATTAGAAAACAAGATAATTCATAGGAAATTATAATTTTGATGATACAGGTGATATATGTAATAGGCATTCCACTAGACTGTCATCTCCTCAAACATTGTAACCCAGTCTGTTTTGCGTACTGTATTAGTCAGTTTTCACTACATTATGCTGTGTAACAAACAATCTGATAGTCTCAGTGCCTTATAACAGCAACAGGTTTTTTTCCTTACCAACCTAATATATGGACTTTGGCAGCTGTGATTCTATTCCATGTGTCTTCTTCATTTCAGGGTCTCTGCTGAAGCAGCAGGTTCTATTTGGACATGCATTCTCATGGCAGAGGGAAAACTATAAGGGAACAAAAGAAACACCCAATGTTTCTTAAAACTTCTGCTCCCATTTCACTGGCCAGAGCAAATGACATGACCAAGCCTGATGATGTGGGGGTAGGATAGGATAAGAGGATATATGATCCTCTGACGGGGGGTGGAAGCAGCAAATAGCTGGAAACAATAATATCATCTACCACAATTACTGTTGTATTCCCGGTTCCTGCCAAGCATGGTTAGCACTTAATTGATGCTCAAGAAAACATTTGATAAGTGGATGCTTTCAAAGAGAAGAATTAAGAGGGCTTCATGAAGGAATTGGGACTTGAGCTAAGACTTGCAGGATGAGCAGATTATGAATATGAGTCAGTTTTTCAGTTTGCATGTTCGCTGCTGTGCCACATTGGCTAGTGTGCATGCCGGAAGTGAGACAGATTTGTGAATTATTTTAAACACTCATTATGAGAGCTGTGGAGTGGAGAAGGTAGATGATAATAATGATAAGGATTTCAGCTTCTGAATATCAGAACTTACTAGAACCCCAAGTTCTGAACATAAGATTCAGAAGTTGCTGATGCGATGGTAGCACCAGGTAAGTAAATCACTTAGCATCTGTGCTTTTGTTTCTTCTCTGACAATAAACCTACCTTTTTGAAAAATATAAATGCTAGTACTTCGTTCAAATGAAACAGCAGGACAAGTGAGAGCATTGCAAAGGCTGCAGTGACATCTGAGCAGCCCTGGTCATCTGCGTCTGTAAGCTTCATGGTATGGCTACTGTAGATTTCATTGAGACGGACGATCATTTGAACCCCAGAGTTCATTCACATGCTGTACAGATTCCCCAGACTAACGCTGGGTGCAAAGGTGGGGCTTGACCCGGGCCTTGAATAGTCTGACAGCGGAGGTGATTGAGCCATTTTGCTTTCCCTCCCTCTAGCATCCAACCTTACTGGCCAGTGGGTTCTCTATTCTACCGAGATTATGGTAGCTCAGGATGAGACTACTACATGGAAACTTTTTTACTCTTCACTTTGCTACAGAATAAATGAGAAGCAGCAGTTGCAGCTGTGGATGTTTGCTTTCCTATATTAACTCATTAGGTAATAATTATATATAGAAAAAGTGTTTAATGTATGTATCCTCATAAATTTGTTTCCAAGTTGATTCCTAATTTACGTACTTATTTTCTTGCTGTAATATTTCAAAGTTAGTATAATTTCCTTCTGTGAAACAAAAGTATTCTAAAAATGAAAAGGTTTTATGTTGTTTATAGGAAATGCTAAGATTGGCAAGGTGAATGTTGTGACAGCATTCGAAACCTCCACGGTTGCTTGGTAGCGCATAGAAAGAGATGTACTCAATGGTGCAGATCTTCACCATATGCTCACAGGGTTCCGTTTAACTGCAAAAGTGCCCTTTCGGCGTCTAAATTTACATCACCACTTACTCTTCTGTGTCAGATTCCATTGACCAACACTCAGAAGGGTGATGGCATCCATTGCAGATTTGTTTATTCTCAAAATCCCTATTTAGACCACAGAAGCCAATGTTTTGGTGTTGCTGTGTTAGTGTGGCATCTGCTCACTGCTGCCTTTCAGGTAAAAATCGAAAAGGAACTCAAAAGCCTCTACCATCGATTGTTTGAACCACTCCGTGTGCCTCCAGATTTGTTCAAAAGATTAACTGGACAGTTTTGCATGATCCAGACATTGAAAAAGGGCGAGACCTATGCTGCAGAGGATATAACCTCAGTTGACGACCGTCTTAGTATTCTCCTGAAGGGAAAGTAAGTGCTCTGTGGAAATCGAAATGCTTCGTTTGCCTGGAATCCTCTTCTGGCTTCTGGGTGGGAAATGAATGAAAGGAAATGTCGCTGACCAATGAAGGAAGTGATCACAGAGCTGGTTGGTGGTGAATTTTCATCAGACAACTGCATTTTAGAATATTACAGAGCAACATGGTAAAATTATGTAGAATTTATTGCTGTGAATCTTGTTGATGTCAGGGTTTTCATTTGTGAAGTTTTCAACTTTTTTGGAAGTTTTATTTAAATTTAATGAGACAGAATTGTAATAGGTTTAAATTGGGCGTTAAAATTTAAGGAGCTTATGCGTGTCTCAGAGGTGACTTGCTTAATTTTTTGAACATCACAGAAATACAGCTTCTAGGAATATCAGTCTCCTTGGGAGACAGCCAGTGTCTGTTCCCTCTCAAAAGTGTCCCAGTTTGAGTAATTAATTATATGGTCACTCCAGCTATAACAGCAATGATAACCATTGGAAGGCACATGTATTCTTCAATACGGACACTTTTTTTCCCTTGTTGGTGAAATTTATTTTGAAATTAATACTTGTGCCTCAGGAAGGGCTTTTTAATTATGTCAGTCACCTGGAGGGGGGTCTTTAAAATTTTACAAAATACAAACCCATAAGATTATGGAGATTTTAAGGCTTGTCACATTATGTGTGGATTATTATGCATTTACTAACACTAATTTCTGTTATCAGAATGAAGGTCTCCTATCGAGGACACTTTCTGCATAATATTTACCCCTGTGCCTTTATAGATTCTCCTGAATTTAGATCAACCCAGATGCACAAAGGTGAAAAATTCCAGGTATGTTTTGGCATGATTTTTAAGAAGATTGAAACTAGTTCATGTCTCATTCAAAATCCAAAGGATATGGATGGGAAAGTGGCCATGATTTACTGAAAGAAGAGATTACCATACGGAACATACAGTATGACCCCATTTTTGTAAACCTTAAAGTAGTGTGTATGTGTACACAGGAAGAGGTCTAGAAAGATCTATCCTGATTTAGCCATTGTGTTAACACTTATTTCTGGGTTGTGAGTTTGATTGCTTTTTTCTGTTCTTCCTTTTTGCTTATTTGAATTTTTATGATTTCTCCATAGAGAACATCTAATGCTCTTGTTATGAGAAAAAAGGAAAATGTCAATTATAGATAATCAGTGTTCTTAAAACATGTAATTGGTTACTTTTATTGGGGAAAAACAGAAAACTGACTTTGCCCTAGAGAACCTACTTTGTTAATCCTTATGAAAAAAAACTGTAACCACTTTACTCTTTTAAATTTAATGAATATGTTTAAGGGCAAAGAACGAAGTTCTTCACAATTACAATAATTTGAACGTGACTACTTAGCCTGATTCTTTTTTGTATCTTAAAAAAAGTGCTCCATTATGTGACACTTTGTTCTGATTCTTTCTGTGAGTGTCCAGCTCTCCTTTTTTATTCCCCTCATTATTGTTAGGAGAGTAACCAAGAAAATGGGTGAGAGTTTCCTTTAGTCTCAGTCTCTAGATAAACAGAAGTAAGGAAATATCCTGAGAACAGGTTTTCTTATGAGCCGGAGGGTAAATGTATTTAGGTAGGAAATGGAATAGAAGGGGATGCTATCACCTGAGGGAGGAAAAAATCGGTGTTTCTTGATGACAGAATCTTATCTTTGAGTCTTTTTCTGAAATGCCACACAATTTGGGATGCCACATGGAGATAATAGTGCACATTCACAGACACTACTTAAGTTTATTTACAATGGTGTCAGGCCTGCCCTGCTCCTACCCTGCCTGAGTAACTGGCCTGAGTAACCACATACCTGGTTAAAGTTATGTGCATTTACTAGAAGGTCTCATATAAATTTGCCACCTGGCTGCAGTGCTGGCTGCAAGCTCACTGAGCTTAAGACAGAGGAGTAAGCAGCTGCTGTGCCCTGTCTCCCCTCATTTACACTTTCCCTTGCGTTTTCAAGGGTCAGCTCTGCACTGAGGTTTATTCTTATAGTATCTTTAATCACCACCATCTACACACTGGCACAGGGCCACTTCTTTCCTCTCTCCCTCTTTCCTCTGACCACCTTACAATTTCTTCTTCCAAAGCCCAACATTTATCTGCTGCATCCATTTCTCTCTTTATAGTAGCAAGTGGTTTTACACAATAGCTCAGTTTCATATAATCCTGAAGAGACTGGCATTTGGGGAAAAGGTGGGAACTGAACCTCCTCTGTTTCCAGAAGCACATAGCCCCTGGGATACAACATGTACTGTCTTTTCCACCGGACTTCAAATTATGTTATAGTTATAATTAAATTAACAACAAGAAAGGCATTTCTGCCACTGGTCACAGTTCTTTTTCTTCTTGGGGACTAGGGATTGGGATTCGGTAGTTGAGAAATGTTCCTCATGTTTCTAAAAACATGACCAAACTCGAGGTACCTTAGCTGAGTGAAGGCTATTTATTCAGTCTTTCCGAAGACTAGTCAGCTTTTCTCGGCATAGAGTCTGGTGTGGCATTTCCTGATGGGTCAATGGGTAAAACCTACCCTGGCATCATCGAGACTGTCTCCTCTACAGCTGGAGCAGATTCCCATCAGAGTAAGCCCTCGGGAAAGATTCTGTTTTGATTATTTACCAAATGTTCCTACTGGCAGATACTCAACAGTAAAAATAGCTGTTGCACATCTGTGTAGGAGTATATTGCCTCTTCCCGAAGCGAGTTCGCAGTGAAAACTGGCAGGTGCTCCCAGGACCAACTTTTCGCTATCTGTGCCAGTGGCATTTACACCTGAGAGTCAATGGCCAGACGTCTCCGTCCACATGCCTTTTAATCTGCTCATCTCATTTTTCTCTAACTCTGAACAGTTACAAGTGTTCTGACAAGGAGCCGCTTCCTTTGCATTTTTCTTTCTTTAAATTCATTCTTTGGTAGGGGTGCTACTGAATTCTACCGTAGGGTGAAAGGAGGAAAGGAAGCAAGTGGACTCGATGACTGTCCCTTGAGATTACACAGTGAATGTTGTTCAGGAATGTGCGGTAATTATGATGACTGGCAGAGTGACAGAGCTGAGACAACGACTCCAAACTTCCAGCTGCCCCCTAGGTGCTGTGTTAGTACTTACAGACCCAAGCTGCTGCTTAGAACTGTTGGAGAATCTTGAGTATCATTATCACAAAAGGTAGTTTTTTGTGTTTGGTTTCTTCTTTGTACAGTTTCATATCCAGCGAGCTTTGCCATTTCCATTTTTCTTTTGGATTTTACCTCCCGCTGTTGCCGTCCCATAGTCAATAGCACATCCTGTGCTGTGAAGCTTGAAAATCAAACCTTTATTGACTTTAAAGGAAGAAGAATGTCTTGGAGGCAGATGTCCAAGCTCTGGTGAAATAAATGAACACTGAGTTATAACTGGCTTTTAAATAAAACCTTATCTTAGTGTTAAGTAAATCTTTGGGTTAAGTTGCAAAGCAATTTAATCTGCCAGTCTTGACTCTGCTGTGTTTTAGTGCAGATGAAAACTCAGTAAGAATTAGCTGAATAGACCACCTCCAGGACATTTTTATGTTCCTGGTGCGTGAAGCTTTGTGCAGTACACAAATAAAACAATAAATTCTCCCCTGAGGACAGTCAGTCAGTCATAGTGTCAGACTGCCATTCCCATTCCAGGACATTCAGCAGTTCCCTCCGACGCTCTTTTTCTTGATAAGGTCTTTTCATTATGTAAGGGCGTAGGATTGGTTTGGGACTAATCCAGCGTCTTAAGGTAATCACAGCAAACCCGGTTACAAACGCTTAGTCTAATTCCCTACCTGAGAGAAATTCTTTTGTGTCTTCCATTACCGTGTTTGCTTTTATTTCTTCTGTGAAATTCTTCACAAGAACTCAAGCGTGGCACTGCTGAGGTACCCTAATAACCTAAGAAGCAAATGTATTTCATGGAAGCTTTAAAAATTCCTAGATTGCATCATAAAAATTCTTCATTAAAGATATGTTTCACTTGACTGTTGTAACAGGAAATCATTAAGTAAATCTATTTGACAGTAATGAAGCATTAGCTATCCACTGAAATGACCTCAGTCGATATGCTAACTACCTGCTTCCAGCTAAATGCCTGCTCTTAGGGACTTGTAAGACTCATACATACTGTAGGTATAGCTTACTATTTGAATATTGTTACTACATTTAAATTGAATAATAATTTTAACAGGTTTAAAATCGTTTTCCACCATCAATAAGAAATGGTTGCCTAGTCGCATGTAAATCAATGAAGTCAGAACACACCCTCTGACCATACACAAAAATAAACTCAAAATGGCTTAAAGACTTAAACATGAGACATGCTACCATAAGACTCTTAGAAGAAATCATAGGCAAAACATTCTCTGACATAAATTGTATCAATGTTTTCTTAGGTCAGTCTCCCAAGGCAATAGAAATAAAAATAAAAATCAACAAATGGCACCTAATCAAACTTACAAGCTTTGGAACAGCAAAGGAAACCATAAACAGACTGAAAAGACAACCTACGGAATGGGAGAAAATATTTGCAAACGATGCGACCGACAAGGGCTTAATTTCCAAAATATACAAACAGCTCATACAACTCAACAACAACAAAAAACCCAATCGAAAAATGGGCAGAAGACCTAAATAGACATTTCTCCAAAGAAGAAATACAGATGGCCAATAGGCACATGAAAAGATGTTCAACATCGTTAATTATTAGGGAAATGCAAATCAAAACTATAATGAGGTACCACCTTACACCGGTCAGAATGGCCACCATTAAAAAGTCTATAAATAACAAATGCTGGAGAGGGTGTGGAGAAAAGGGAACCCTCCTACACTGTTGGTGGGAACGTAAGTTGGTGCAGCCACTGTGGGAAACCGTATGAAGGTTCCTTAGAAAACTAAAAATAGAACTACCATATGATCCAGCAGTCCCACTCCTGGGCATATATCCAGACAAAACTATAATTCAAAAAGATACATGCACCCCAATGTTCATTGCAGCACTATTCACAATAGCCAAGACATGGAAACAACCTAAATGTCCATCAACAGATGAATGGATAAAGAAGATGTGGTACATATATACAATGGAATACTACTCAGTCATAAAAAATAATGAAATAACACCATTTCCAGCAACATGAATGAAACTAGAGATATCACACTAAGTGAAGGAAGTCAGAAAGAGAAAGACAAATGCCATATATCACTTATATGCAGAATCTAAAATATGACACAAATGAACCTATCTATGAAACAGAAACAGACTCACAGACATAGAGAACAGACTTGTGGTTGCCAAGCAGGAGGGGGTTGGGGGAGGGATGGAGTGGGAGGCTGGGGTGAGTAGATGTAAGCTATTATATATAGAATGGATAAGCAGCAAGGTTCTACTGTAGAGCACAGAGAACTATATTCAGTATCCTATGATAAACAATAAAGGAAAAGAATATTAAAAAAGAATATATATGTATAACTGAATCACTTTGCTGTACAGCATAAGTTAACATTGTAAATCAACTATACTTCAATAAAATAAGTGGCTTCCTACTGTATATAAAGTAGATAAACAACAAGGACCTACTATATAGCACAAGGAACTGTATTCAATATGTTGTAATAACCTATTATGGAAAAGAATCTGAAAAAGGAGATATATATATATATATATGTATAAATGAATCCCTTTGCTGTATACCTGAAACACTGTAAATCAACTATACTTCAATTTTTTTTTTTTCTTTTTTTGCGGTACGCGGGCCTCTCACTGTTGTGGCCTCTCCCGTTGTGGAGCACAGGCTCCGGACGCGGCTCAGCGGCCATGGCTCACGCGCCCAGCCGCTCCGCGGCATGTGGGATCTTCCCGGACCGGGGCATGAACCCGTGTCCCCTGCATCGGCAGGCGGACTCTCAACCACTGCGCCACCAGGGAAGCCCTACTATACTTCAATTTTTAAAAGACATTTAAAAAAATATAGGAAATGGTGGCTAAGCAAATTATAGCATCATTTTGAAAGTATTATTGCCTCAGGGCAACTTGAGGTTATTAAAATGGTTGAAGAAAAGTTAAATGCATATACATCACCTAAGTGCAACGACGACTTCTTTTCTTGGATGATTTCCAACTCCTCTTTTAACTTCTTCCCCCACTGTTCATGAACTGTATCTTCCAAAGGCATGGATGACATCTGCGCAAAATGAAGGGACCTCAACATTCCTAACCCTTTCTTCAAAGCTTGGGTGCCGGACTGGGCCACTGTGTGTGCCCGGTGCTCACTTTCTCTAATTACTCCTCTAGAATGTTACTCGGTTGCCTTCTGTTTGTGTGCCCATCTCCTACTATCTCTGGGAACTCCTCAGGACTGGTTATATGGCTCTTGACCTTATACTTGATCTTATACTTCTTTAAATCTTTTTTTTCCCCTTGGTCACATGTCTTTACTTATTATCAGCTTCCTCCACTAGAATGTAGGCTTCAGGACATCGTGTTCAGCTGTTCTTTGTATGCAGGATTCTTGATGGTGAGTCAGCCTTGTGGTCACTTCACCAAATGCCTGTCTCTGTGACTGTCTTGATGAATCTAGGACACATTGGGTAGGGTTTGGCCTGGTGGAAAAATATGCCTGGGCTGGAAGTCAGCAGTGCTCACTCCACCATTCATTAACATGTGTACCTGCCTAAGTTTTGTGGTGCTTCTCATTTGTTTTTTTATAAATTTATAAATTTATTTATTTACTTATTTATGGCCGCGTTGGGTCTTCATTGCTACACGCGGGCTTTCTCTGGTTGCGGCGAGCATGGGCTACTCTTTGTTGCAGTGTGCGGGCTTCTCATTGCGGTGGCTTCTTTCTCTTGTTGCGGAGCACAGGCTCTAGGCGCCTGGACTTCAGTAGTTGTGGCCCACAGGCTTGGTAGTTGCGGCTTGTGGGCTCTAGAGCACAGGCTCAGTAGTTGTGGCGCACGGGCTTAGTTGCTCCGCGGCATGTGATATCTTCCCAGACCAGAGATCGAACCCGTGTTGCCTGCATCAGCAGGCAGATTCTTAGCCTCTGCGCCAGCAAGGAAGCCCCCTGGTGCTTCTCATTTGGCATCTGGAAAATGAGGAAGAATCTTATCCGTCTTACCTCAAAGGCAATTTTAAGGACCTGCTTACATGATAGATGTAAAAGCACTTTAAATGTTAAAGTACAATACATACTGAAAGTGAGTGGCATTATGTGTACCTGTCATTTCCTACTCATTCTCTACCATTTTCCCCTGTTCTGTATTTGTCAAAACACTTACTGCCCCCTGAGATGGTCACATTTCTTTATTCATCATCGGCTTCCTCCACTGGAATGTAAGCATCACAGGGCAAGGATCTTGGCTTTTTTGTTCACAGTGGTAACCTCGGTGCCTTGAACCGTGTCTGGCATAAAGTACGAGCCTAACAATGTACGTTGAAAGAATAAATGAAATTTAGTGTTTTACGGAGCCATAGAGCTGCTGATGCATTTCTTAAATCCCAATGTGTTTGGTTTGGGGGATTTATTGTTTAATGTATTTAATATTATTTAATAGAATAAATAAGTGCAGCTTTATTTTTCTAGGAACACTGACCCACGTTTTGTAGCCAAACCCTCTCATTTACTAAAGGTCAGATTTCAACCACTGACATAAGGAGAGAAGCTGGGTTTTCTGTTTTCTCTCCTAGTAGACATAAATACCTCCTTGTCATCTGAAATATGTTTAATTTTTTTACTAACAAAGGGTAAAGAGCTCCTCTGGAAATCTTTGCTCTGAGCCCAGATATGACTTCATGTCAATTTAGAAACCTTTATTAACCTCCCACTTGGACAAGCATTGGGTTTAATGTTGAAGATGTAAAAATGGTTTTTGCCTTCAACAGTATTTGTGTTCATATGTTAATTTCTTCATCAGTAAACCTGCACTGAGCACCACTCAGTGTTGGAAGCCAGGCATTCAGTATGAAGATGCACAGTCCCTGCCCTCAGGGTGCTCAGGAGAGAGAGTGGACCATGGATGAGCTTGAGTTCAGTGATAGGAGTGCCACGTGAAGCTGACAGAAGGACCTGCATGGGAGGAAGGGTGTCCTGACCCTGAACTTGGAGTGAGGGCGTGGCCCCTTGCTCTGGAGAGAGGATGTATTTAAGGAATACTTAAATTCTGTGTAGTGCAATTACAATGCTTTCCCATTTTCCTATATAATAACACTTAAGGAAAAGGTATGGTTTCCCAGTTCTGAGCTAACTGGGGGATCTCTGTGTGTGTCCCCAGTGGGCTACCCTTGGTAGGTCACACTCAAGAAATACCTATGACAGAAGGACCCAGAGAAGGACCCTTACTAGCCATATTTATCAGTAACCATCTGGGCCCTAAAACCAATTCACGTGAGTCTGCTTTCTCATTCTCTAGTATAATTATCTGGATATAAAGAAATATTTCGCCATAAATTGTACATCCAACTGAGACATCAGTCTAGCACACTCCGTAGCAGTGCTATTGACACGGTGGCCATTCTTCTATCACCAGACCTCACAAAACAGAACAACAAAACTTGAAGACTTTGCTTTCATTTAGTCTACAGATTGCTTGGTTTTAAATGTAATGTTATACTTAGTTATAGAAGCGAGTGTGTATGGATCTTATTTTAACTAATATGACACAGCATTGCTATGATAATATCCACTAAATTATTCTACTCTTCCCTCCCCCCAGGTTACTAACATCATAATTCATACACATTTTTCTCTCTGTTTCTTTGGCAGGTCACCATTATTGCAGATGATAACTGTAGATTTTTATGCTGGTCAAGAGAAAGATTAACTTACTTTCTGGAATCAGAGCCTTTCCTATATGAAATATTTAGGTATCTTATAGGAAAAGACATTACAAATAAGCTCTACTCATTGAATGATCCCACCTTAAATGATAAAGTAAGTGTTTTTCTGAGTCTGTTTTGTTAAATACATATGCATAGTTAGGTATGTCTCCTTTTATGCAATATATATTTTCCTGAATCTTCATTAATTAGTCATATGTTAAGTGAAGTGGGGATGCTTGTAATTTAGAGACCCTTCAGGGAATCATTTCTCAAGCGTGAGGAGATATTATGCAATTATTATATTTTCCATGACCTGGTGAGGTGTCTGTGAATGTCAGGGACCTCCATTTGTGGTGATGAGGTGCTAACCTCTTCATAAAGAGTCTTTCAAGCAATCTAAGGAAGATGATAAATGAATGGAAGAACTAGGCAGTGGTATAGGCCATGGAAGGCGGGGCAGGGGGAAGTTGCAGACTGATAAATGCTGATCAGCCCCAGCAAGCAGGAGGTTGGCTTTTTAACCCTGTGTTTTCCAGTCTTGCACATTCTACTGGTCAGGTACCCTCCCAGAATGCCCATAAGTGACGAGAGGTATGGGATGGAAGCCTGTGTCCATTCGGTTAGGAATTTCAGAGCTGTCTAGATCTCCAACGATTTGCAGTTTGATCTCCACTTCCCCACATTTGCTTAGAAGGAAATTAAAATGATTACAGAAGAGAACTTGCAAACCTTGTTTCCGTGATAAGTACTGTTCTCCAGGGACTATGAGTATGGGTGTGTGCGCTCTTCGAGTCATCTTGGTGAAGGCGGTTATCAAATTAGGTTGGTGCTTATTATTTTTCAGATTCATAAATAGGCTATTGAGTATATTACATTTTTCCTAATGTATTTGTAGTAATAGCTTATAATAAAAATTAGAGCTACCATTTATTGGGCACTGACTGTGTACCGGATAGTCTTCTATTTCAAGGAAAAGTAAATGTTACTTACAGGGAATAGATGATCTAAGTCTCATGGCACTCAGAAATCTTACAACTTTGCTTTATAGACGGTCCAGAAGTTGGACCACCAGCTCAGCCTTTGCACACAGCTGTCCATGCTGGAAATGAGGAACAGTATAGTCAGCTCCAGTGAAGATGAAGACGGCTTACACCAGTTTCTTCGGGGCACCTCCAGTGTTTCCTCTCTTCGTAAGTTATCCCCACACTGGGATTCTGATGGATATTGCTAGAAAAGAACAAATGGCAACTTTGATCAGAAAAGTAACTTTTCAAGTAGCAAGTGTTTGGCAACCTATAGGTAACAATAAAAGTAATCAAAACTTTTCTAGCTTTTTTTTTTTTGGATTGCACATCAGTTAAAATCCAACTCTAGAATGCTTATTTCCATTTCAGAACCTGTCCACTTGTTTTGCCGTATGCTTTTCTCAAACACTGGTTCAGTAGAATAGTATGAACGAGTCCATATGGTTTGCTGGGTATCCAAGCCTTGTTGTTTTCATGATTTTAGTGGAAGCGTGGGCCCAGCATCGTGTTTAAAATGGTAGGAAGCAACAGCTGGAGGTTGTACTGCCAGCTGTTATCTCAGTGTCACCACCAGAAGTTAACAGGTGAGTGGGTAATGGAATTTTCCTGAAGATGAAGAAAGCCACTCAACACCCCCGTGAGTCTCCTCATTCATACCAAGAGGCAAGTTTTCCAAGATTCCACTATAGTTTAGATCGTTTTAAAACATTTTAAATAATACGAATGGCACAGATGTTGAAGATTCAATGCTTAACATTAATGCTTAAAATTATTTTAAGAATTATTCCAAGAAAGGTAGTCTAAGACTGTGGAACAAATTCACGGGAAAGAGCAGACAGGCAGACAGATGCTCTCACTGCATAAGCTAAACATTATTCATCTTTACAATTGTATCTTAATCCAAGGTAACGTTTAAGAAAATCCAGATACGCATTCCACAACCCTAAGCGTTTATGTCAATGATCTCGTAACTTTGGACGCTTTAGCTAAATCGGATTAAGGATTTTAAGTATCGCATAGTCAGGAGAGGCTGGAATCGACAAGGCCATGTCAACGTAAGCTTCCAAGCAAAGTCTAGGCATAGAAACACATTGTGGGCCTAAAAGAGATTTCAGGAACAACGCAAATGAGAACGTGGAAATGGCTATATTTTATTACAAAGTAGCTTTTAGAAAGTACAGCTGAGGTTGACCAAACTCTGAATCTACTAGCATGTCAGATGTGTTATTTGCCTTGTTGAAACAGTTTGATGGTAAGCATTTTCAAATGGACCCATCCTAATTACATGTACAGTGATTTCTAAGAAAGGCCAGCAGAAAGGGAATTACAGTGAGATATTGTATGTGAATTATTTTTCCTGTAGAATATCTTTTTTTGTAGTTTTTTTTTTTTTTTTTTTTTTTTAGTCCCACAGTCTTGCTTAGGAAGCCCTGAGAATGGGCAGTTTATACTATGGCCATTCGTTTTCTTAAAATCAGTTTTGTTTTTCTGTAATATTTTCTTGTATAATCTAAATCTTTTGGACATTTTAACATTTTAGAAAAAGAAAAAAAGCTTCTCTAGAGTATGTTGTTTAAACAGAATTGGAACATGTTTTCAAGGTTAATGTTTGCACTGTACTTGCCTTCAGAAACCTTTATTTCCAGGTGTTCTGTGGATGGATCACACACGTGCATACAGACCTGGGTTCTTGCTCTAATAATTCTTAGCTGTGTCCCTTGGAGTAAGCCGTATGACCTTTCTAATCTGACATGAGCTGTCATATCTCAGCACAGGCCTGGATCTGGTCACAACTCCTGGTCTGTTTCCTTCCCTCTCCCCTATAGTGAATCATGAGTTTAATCCAAAAGTCCATTCCCCACATGGATAATTGAAGCTTCCGTGTCTGTGAAGAAGTGGGCAGCCCTTGGGGGCAGGGGGGGCAACTTTACTTCTCAGTTCCCTTGTCCAGTTGTACTTTGCTGTACTGAAAATGTGTACAACTTGCTTATGTTGTTTATTTAATTATTTTAGCCTCAGGTTTATTATACAAGATCTTACATATTGATGCAAATGCATAGAGCCACATATGTGTGCATACTTTTGAGTGTGTGTGTGTGTGTGTGAGAACCGCACAGCAAATTCATGTTCATACCTGCTTCCTTTTTTTTTTTTTTTTTTTTGCGGTACGCAGGCCTCTCACAGTTGTGGCCTCTCTCGTTGCGGAGCACAGGCTCCGGACGCGCAGGCTCAGTGGCCATGGCTCACGGGCCCAGCCGCTCCGCGGCATGTGGGATCTTCCCGGACTGGGGCACGAACCCGCGTCCCCTGCATCGGCAGGCAGACCCCCAACCACTGCGCCACCAGGGAAGCCCCGTACGTGCTTCCTTTTGACCAGTCTTCATTCTGGGCATCACTCCTGCAGTTTAATGAAAGACATTATTATTTGAGCACAGCACTGATATTAATTATGAATTATCTAATTCACCCTATCGCGTGACTCATTAAAAACTGGTTAGTTCTTGTTTCTCTTAGATTTTATCCTGGAAATACTGAAGGCTGTTTTCGTTTTTCTCTTGCCAGATCCATCAATATGCCATCGACTTTTCCAAATTACAAATTACCTTCCTTGTAAAACAGAGAATACAAAACCAATCTCTCAGGACTGTTAGGCTGACATAACGAAATTTAGCACACTTTGAGCATGCAGTAGGCCTCAGTCAATGTTAGGTCCCTACAACAAGTGCCTAAGCTCTTACTAGTCTGGATTTTTGATGGGCACATGGGGGCAGCTGGGGCAGCTGCTCTCAGCAACAGTATCAGCTTCATGAATGCTAGTGGAGAGAAGGAACAAACATTTATTGACAATAGCAGGTGTTATTTTTTTCGGGTATTCTCTATACATGATCACATTTAATCTTCACTGCAGTCTACACAGAGGAGAGGTATCTTAGCTTTCACTAGATGCTGCAGTGCCAACAGACGGTTCCCTGCATCTCTGGCTGCAATGCTTTCTTCCTCCTTCACCTGCACACTGGATGCTGCTCCAGCGTGTATCCTCCACACTCTGGAACACCAAAGGAGCAGCCGCTGTTTGGGTGAGCTGCCACTCGTGGCCTAGGGAGGACAGTGGTGGCAGAATCACCCCACGGCTCTTAAAACTCCCGTTTTGAGGTAGCACTTGCCACTTTCACTCATGTCCCCTGGACCAGAGAAGTCACTTGGCCGGAACCACCATGAATGGGTGGCTCTTTAATCCTCCTTCAGGGGCTACACAGGAAGGGAGGGAAAGCAGGCATGTTGACAATAACACAATCTACCGTGATGAGTATCATTTCACTTAACCGAGAGGAAATTGGGAATATGAGATGTGTACTCACTGTTCCAGATCCTCAGGGGGAGGTGCTGGCAGACAGACACATCCTGTGTGATTCCTCAGTCCATGATTTTAGACCATATTGCCTCTGTGGTTTAAAAAGAAAAGGAAAAAAAAATGCATGAAATGTTTGACCGGTGCTTTATAATTTACAGGTCACTTTCACACCCATTCTTGCATTTGAACCTGATGACTCTGCCAGCTGGGCACAGCGGCCGCTATTACTCACCTCTTTGCAGACGAGTCCACTACACTTAGGGAGAAGGTAGTGTTTGCAAAAGGTCATTTCTTTCCCCTCCATCCTACTTCCTTCAAGAAACCTACCATCCCCCGAATCCTTCATTAGGACCAAGCAGTGAAACAGATAGGTTTTCTTAGGCCAGTTAATTTCCATTTCAAAGAAAATTTTGGCCTTAATCGTTGTATGGAGGTTCTATACAGGGACATTTAAAATTATCCAATAATATTCTCCAGTCAGTTAGCTTTGGGTTAGCTTTCACATTGCCTCATATATATACTTACAGAACGATGAGCAATGCTGCTCTGTAAAAATTAAATTTATTTTATATATTTTCCTAACCAAAAAACTTTGACATTATTCATTCTAGTCATTAACTCAAACGTAGAAGTAGATTTAAATATTAAAATCCATTTCAATATTTCTCATAATTATTTTTTAAATCAATATCAGGATGTACCCATTCATGGCGGTTCCGGCCAAGTGACTTCTCTGGTCCAGGGGACATGAGTGAAAGTGGCAAGTGCTACCTCAAAACAGGAGCTTTAAGAGCCGTGGGCTGAAAAGTCTCGGAATCTCTAGGCTCCCCTTTCCATCTCTTTCTGTCTGTGTTTCAGCTTTTTGTTTTCTTTTGTTTGTCCTATAGAGCAGAGATGCTTGAACATATCTATGCATATGCGTAACTTGGAGATCTCATGAAAGGCTTTGGTGCAGCAGATGGGGGTGGGGCCTGGAAGTCCATGTGCTTATTAACAGGCGCCCACGTGATGCTGATGTGGCTGGTCCCTGAACTATGCCTTGAGTAGTGAGGCTGTAGAATTCCCTGCCTTCTGGAATTGGGCTGATTGCATTCCCCTGGTTGTGATTAAGATGTTTCTTGTATTTCTTGAGGCTCACATAGATTCTGGTGAAGACTCTACTTTTTTTTTTTTTTTTTTTTAACGATATGCGGGCCTCTCACTGTTGTGGCCTCTCCCACCGCGGAGCACAGGCTCCGGACACACAGGCTCAGCGGCCATGGCTCACGGGCCCAGCCGCTCCGCGGCATGTGGAATCCTCCCAGACCGGGCCACGAACCCGCGTCCCCTGCATCGGCAGGCGGACTCTCAACCACTGCACCACCAGGGAAGCCCCAGGATCTCTACTCTTTACCAGGGTCTGGATTCCACTTAAAACGATCATTTAAAGGCAAGAAAGTAAAATAATGAAATAGTCTGAGAAAAACTTTCCTGTTTATTCACTAGCACATAATCCAATTAATTGAACTCTTTTTCGCTTTCCTATTGCTTCATTTACTTGAGTTCCATGTTTAGAAGTGTGATTGTGAGATAGGATGTCCAGGACGTGTGAGAAGGATTTAATGCCCTCAGATGGATATAAGCTTTCTTCTTTCTGCTCCTGGACCAACGTGCTCATCAGGGTGCCTTGTCATCTCCTTGTCTTTCCTTCCTTACAAGGTTTGGCTCCCTACGTGTGATGTATAAAACACACACACACAGAGATGGACTGTACTTGGCAGTTCCATCATGATAAGTGGTGCTGAGCACAGGCATTGTCATGGCAACAGGTGGA